CTTCGTTCATAATTTTCTCATGCTTGTAACACTCTTCAGGTGCACATATAATATAAACTTCATCCAAAAGCTAGAATGACCCATGACTCTTACCAATGACCAACTTGAGTAATAACAGCAACTAGATCCCAGTCTTCCTTTGTTCGCTCCATTGTGATACTTGTCCTTTTAGCCTTTTCTCTCTAAACAACTATTTTATTGAACTTGTAGATGTGATCAGGACAGTGGGTTCCAAAGCATTAATAAGGTATTTTGGATAATATTTAGTTTAGCTAGCTTTCTTTTGCTTCCTCAAGATCATGATTACAAAAGGGATCACTGCTCCCAGTCAGAGTACATACTCCCCATACTTAACCAGACAGATCCCTGGCTTTCTGTCCAGAGAATTTTTACATGCTGGATGGAAGAAGGGCCATGAAGTAGTCTAGGAGCCCTCAACAAAAGGATGTAAGTATTGAAGCTTAACTACAATTTAATCGTTGCTAACAATAAATTGTTTTTTACGATGTAACCAGACAAAGGAGGAACTTGCTGTATCACATAAAAAACGGAGAGGGGAAAAAAGGAATGTATCACCATGCTATAGCTTCCATCTGTTCAGACATGGAAGGAGATCCTAGCATGACATTTAGAACAAATATGATATTTGTTTATCCAAAACAGAGACTATCAAATTGTGCAGCCCATTCCTCAGGCACATCTTGCTGAGAGTGCCTTAGCTGCAGTATACTGCTCCGAAGGTGACCTCATTCTGAAAGCTGAATCCAAATGAATATAAAAATATTTGCTTATTGAAATGTGTTGTAGCAGTTTTCAAAAAGTGACCTAGTGAGACTTGCAGCAGAGGAAAAAAGGTTTATTTTAGTTACTGCTCAGCTTGGTATATTATGCATCAACCCAGGGCTCCTTCTACTAAGGCTCTCAAATTGTTTTAGGAAAAAGCAGAATGAATAAAATACATATATATTACTTCCACAGAACTGTTTTTTCCTCTTAGTTATATCAGGATAGATTCAGAGTAAGTCTAATGAAGTCAGTAGTTTTCTAATAGTGTAAAAGCGAACAAATCGAGCTCTGAAGCTTCTCATGTTTTATTTGCCAAGTGTTTTCATGTTATGCTGGCACATGGACAGTGACAGGATGTACAGGTTTTGGGACCCCTTTGGCAGGCACCAAAGAAGCCCTATTATGCCCCACGACAATACAGCCATTTGCAAATGCTACCAGAACTGAACTTCCTAGCCAGATGCAGAGCAGTTCCTCTCACTGGTTTGTTGTCCTCCAATGCTTACTTGCTAAATTGTAAGGAAAAAGGCATGCTGGACATTTTCTTGAGGTGGCAACTGGGGTTGAATAAGATTTTTTTCACTAAAACCCAAATATGAAGGAAAAACATTAAATAAAAGTTACAAACAACCATCATCCACTCTTTTCCTCCTCTCCTCAAACATGAGCTTGAGCTCTTTCCAAACTCCCACAATACCCAGTATCATGGCTCTTTTATTCAGTCAGAATGGATAATTTTCTTTTGAAGATAAGCTTTCAACCTCACATTAAATTACTTGCATTATTTCTTAACAGCTTCTATGTTTGCTGAAAGTATAGTCATTTGTCATATTTAACTTCATTTGTGCTTAATGAATTAGAGCGACAGATCCAGAAAAGACCTTCAGCACCTTAAATGCATCTTTTGGAAAAGCTGGGTTCCCAAATCTGTTTTCAGTCCTGAAAGTATCCTCTGAGTTGTCATTTCACATGAGGGTGCTGACACTTCCAAGCCACCTCCCTTTAGGGGTCAGAAAGGCTTTGCTCCCAGGCTGCCCCTCCAGTCACGAAGGGCAGCCAGCAGATCAGCAGAGCCACCTGGAGGCTTCAGTGGAAGATCAGTAGTTTATCCCTCGAGAAGACCTAATACATACATAGGACACTGCTTTTGGCTAAAGTCAGCTGTGACTGCTGCTTTCTTCTAAGACAGCTGCAGGAGATGTAAGCACCCACTCCACCTATCAGCTGGAGAAACTGGTTGCAGCTCCTCCCCTTTTAGTGTCCTAAATGACTCAGCACAGGCACGTTCACTGCTGGTTTTGAACCATGCAGGAAAGCAAAAGAAGAGCCACATGAGAAATAAGTATGAGAGTGATTGAGACCAAATGGTTACAGCTGGTATGAAGAAGGAAATGCTAAGCTTGGGTTTCTCCTTGAAGCATTCAAACAGCTGGAATACATCCCAATGCTGTCCTTGCAGGTTTCCCTCAACATCCCCCTTGTAATAACCTTGTTTTCCCCTGCCTTGTGTGATTTCATGTGACCCATGTCCCTACAGCATCTCCATCACTCATGAGCAAGGTGAGAAGCATCACAAGCTACCTATGGGCCAAGTTGTTGCACAAAGAACCCTGCCAGATATCTACTTACAAAATGAACAGAAATTGTAGTCCAACAAGGAGGAAGAGTCCTAAACTAGTTCTCATAGCAAGGGAAGAGACTTCTTCAGTGTTGCCTGAGCTGTCTTCAAGGCTCATCTCTTCTGTCAGCATTGACTGAATCTGGTCAACAAGGCTCAGAAGTTACTGGAGGGAACTGCAGCTTGCTTGCTTGCTTACCCTTGTACAAAACCTCGTATCACCTAAGCAATGCCAAACCACCCATAATCAGCAAGATCTTTTCTGTGTTATTACTTGAGACAATACAGCACAACTGAGGATCTTCATCACATCAAAGAATGCCCGTAGCTCATCCTTGTTTTGTGCACCTTTGACATGATCCTTCCTCATTCAGCCCTCCATTCTTTCCCCAAGTGAAGTTAGAATGGGGATTCAAGAGAAAGGCTGAAAGTGTGGGGATTGTGAGCATTAACTCTTGTTAGCATATCTGGGCATCAGCTTATCACCTGCTGTTAGTGTACTGAAACACAGAACAAAGCTGCATTTCTGTAAGAGACATTGGGTGCAAAATTGGACAGAAGAGCGTCAGATTGCAGTTATTCCATTCTTTCGCACAAAATGTGAAATAACATGTTAACTGCCTTCTGGGCATACAGTAAGCTTCCATTAAAATAATCACCATATGGCTCTTTTTGGGACATGGTAACTTTCGTGTTATTTCACAATCCATTCAGATGAACAATTTCACAATGGACCCTACAGGACCTTGAAAGGATTTTATCAGGTTACTGGATTAAGGCTTTGATAGAGATTCTAAGGAAAAAGCAGGTGGAAACAACAGCTCACACAGTGCCTCTGCGGAGTGATTACTGGGCTGTATTCTCTGTTCAAATGGGAAAAGGAAATCCCTTGAAATAAAAATCTGGTTGCTGCTGATTAGCTGACAAGAAGGAAATTCAACACTACACACATAAGCTATACACCCTATATATGATACCAACAGATCCGTCATGTCAGCAATTCATTTTCTTATGGTAGGCATGGGTTTGGAGAGGAATTCATTAAGAGCCAAATAAACTAATAGCAAAGTATCCCCTGCCTTGCATGATATTCTATATACATAGTTTACAAGTCTAATTTTGGGTTGTTATTTTTTATTTGCCCATTCCTCACTTTACTGCATTATACAGTCAGGGATCCGAATATTTTGCATTTTGCTGCTATCAACATAAGATTTACATCAGTTTCTCCAGCTGCAGGAATACTGTAGTAAGAATATTCTCTATGGAACACATTTCCAAATCTTTGAGTGGTTCCAGTTGTACCAGAAGCTTAGTACAAGGATTAAGTGCATGAAAGATTAAGGGTGAACTCTGGTTAACATTCACCTAAAACATCATTATAGGTTACGTTTTTTTTAAACAGTCTATATTATCTCTTTTTCCCCCAGTTTTACCCCTTGCAGAGTCTTTGAAATGCATTGTCTGTTGGAGGACTCTAGTTGTACTGGTGATGGTACGTTAGGTGGCAAGTCCCATGAAGCACGCTAATATGCACTAATCTTTTAATGATGATGAATATTTGACTCTTTATAATAGGTTTTTTTTTTTTTTCTGTAAAGAGGTTTTCCACACAAAAAAAAAATCATCACAATGGCTGTCACAAGTAAGCTTCCCTCCCCTTTGAAAGAACTGACTGTAGTGGAAAAGATAATTACTTAGTTCCTTTATCTCCAAATTATTTGTAATAAAACCTGAAATCGCACCACAAGGTCTTTCATGAGGATGTCATAAATTAAGATGCATCGATGTATTTGGTGCATCTGTTCAGCTCTGTGCTCCTTTGTCTTCTGCAAATAGCGCAGCAGCTTCAATACCCAGCAGACAGCATTTACGCAAACGATGTCGTGGTCTGTATCATTAATATTCAGCGATTGTCTGTCATAGACACCTTACTGTACATCTGTTATGCAAATTTATGTTAATTTTTGCTCACTGACAGCTGCCTTGGTTCCCTCCCTAAAATGATCTTTTCCATTTTGAAGTTTGCAATCTGTTCCCAAAAATGTTAATCTAACAATTAACTGAAATTGCTAAACAGAAATTTTACGTTATGTCCAAAATAGAAACCAGTGTTTTTAAATAGATGGTGAATCTTCTTTTCACATCATTTGTTTTATATGCGATTCAGAGAAGGGTAAACATTGATCTTTGCACAGCCTGTGTTGGGATAAGTGACAATCTCCCTATACAGTAATAGGTTTTGCAGGAAATGATGCCATCTTGTTTTCACATCGGCTATGGGCATAACATAAAACTGACTTTCCCATTAAAAATGTTCTTTGTACAACTGCTTTTCTATTTAGACTTTCTGAAACAAAGAGGCAACTCCTTATTAATATGTTATTCCTTTAAATCTTTGATATTAAGTAATATGACCACATTTCAAATAAAGACAGCACTTAAAACATGTTTCAGAGCAACTAAAACATGATAGCATAATGTATCAGGAAAAGTAAAATACAGAGGTCTTGGAAGCTAAGTTCAGATTGCTGAGGCAAGTGCTTTGACCCAGTATGCCCACAACCAGGTTTTTGCTTCCAGAGTCAGGAACCAGACAAGTCACACCAGGTATCCAGCAAAGAACCAGTGGGTATGTGGGCAGATGGTGTACAGGAGAGGGTTTAAGTCTGTTAGACATTAGGGGAGGTACATGAGGAGAGCCTAGACAGAAAAACAGTCTTCACCTTAAACCAAAGTGCAACTGGATTGCTGGCACAGTGTTTACATGTCCCAGGGCATTACTTAGATCTAGAGTGAGCAAAACTTTGACAGGAGCCAAGGGAGAGCTTTGGTCAGACACACACCTGCAAGAGATGTCAGAAACACCAGGGTAGCTCCTTGTCTCAGAGAGGACAGCTCTTAAACTGGAAATGAAATGGAGAGAGACAAGTTGCAGTTGCAGACCAGGCTGTTAGGGGAGGGAATTAAATAAGAGTAGGCATATTGCCCATATTGAGAAAGAAGCCCTTGAGTGTCCATATACTGAGGCCACAGCTTCAAAGCAGAAACCTCTTAACCTACATTTACTGATGGTGTAAAATACGGCCATGATTTTTTAGAAACCTATGTGCAAATCTGAATTAGACAGAATAATACAGAACCTGACTATAAACCACAGATGAAAACAGGCTGCAAGAAGTTACAGACATTAGAAACAGCATTACACCACACCACAGATTCAGTATCAGTCTTCAACACAGAAAATATAGCCAAGATACCTATTCAAGCCCTACCCTTATCAGGAAATAAAGAGCATGCTATGTCAGGCTGAGCTGTCAAAATAAGAAGAGTAGGAAAATTAAACTGATAAATTAAAGAGCAGCATGTCACCTGACTGATGGCATCCCTCCAGGAGATCTCTTAGAAGCATAGCTGATGTTTCTAACAAAGAATGCAGAATAGTTCATTTTAAAATGCAGAATTGAAGGGTAGCAAACATTGTACTTTCCTTCCAAAAAAGAGAAACGGGAATTCTCAGTTACAAACTATGAATCCTCAGAAAAGTTTTTGGAACAACTCATTATGACAAAAGTATAAAATCACCAAAATAAGAACATTATGAGGCCAAGCTAGCAGAGCTTTTGTTAAGGAAAATTGTTCTTCTCTAGTCTATTGTAACGCATCAACAGTGTCAAACAATGGATGATGAGGACCATTTTGTAAATAAGTTCACTTGAAAGCCCAAGTATTTAATTGAAAAACTATTTCCTGAGGAACCAATTAGGAAAACAAAGTAATCATGTAAGAAGAATAAATATTCTGCTGTAGTTCAGAAAGTGATTGACAAAGCTACAGCAAAAAGTATATAACTTACTCCTAAATTTGAAACTCATAATGAAATATTGCTGAGCTATTTCTGAAGCTGCAATTAATAAGATAGATTGTTTGGAAAAGTGTTAAACAGCCATATCAGTATTTGCAGGTGACAACACTTTCTCTAGGTGTCCAGACAAAAGAAAGTGCTTGACACTTCGGAAAGCCTTTAAAATAAATCACAAAGCAGCACTTCAAAAACAAATTCAATGTCAAGTACAAGATAAATTTAGGCACAGGAGGTACTAGATTTCAAGGAACCTCCTGAGGTATCAGATACTACTGTTTACTGTTACTACAGGCAATCACATCATATAACTTCATACAGTTTATCAAGTTCCAGTTTTTGTTCTAATCAGAATGATCATACACAGTTTTGACAAACAATCTTAGAATAAAATTTTAATTGTTTATAGGAGCATTCATGCATATAACAAGATACTGTGAAACAATGATTAAAAAGAATTAAAACCTCCTTTGACTCTAGTGTTTAATGTCTTTTAATTAACTTTACTAGATAAAGTGGAGCTTGAAATATAGCTCAAATAATATTATGTTATCCTAGTGTAGGGAAAACCCCTACACAAATATATATATATATCAGCTAATATTGGGGATGAGGCATTTTACAGTCATTTCTTTTTTATTTTTAGGCACCAGCAGAGAATGGAAGAGCCCTTCCTGTGGTTATCTCCATGTGGCCTTCTGTGCATTAATGTATTTCAGCACTTCAGCCTTCATAAATAGTTTTTTGAATTACAATAGCCTGAAATACCCTCTTATGGAAGTTTTGGTTGGTTGGTTTAATTATAGAAAATTGGCATGGAGGACAGGAGAACACACCAAAGACTGTCTATCTAACACAACTTGTAATGTTGGAGTAAAGCAGTGGGATGACAGCAGGACAGTGGTGCAGGCAGAAAGCTATTAGGAGCAGTAGAAGAGCCCAAGGTTACTGGCACCCCAGCAAGCATATCCCTGCCTGCTGGATGCTATTCATCAGTCCCAAAGCTCAGGGCTCTGCCTCTGCTGATTTAGCTTAGTTTTGAACTTATTTCAAACGTCCTAAATCCAGAGAGATTGTTATTAAGTTGAGGTCCAAAGGGAGATAATAGCTTTCATTGTTTGAAATAGTTCAGTCTCAGTAGCCGGAAGAAAAATGCCAAACAGCAGCTACAACATTACTAATCTCAGAGTTTAAATCTGAGATCTCTTTGGTGACCAGATCTTCGAAAACTGATTTATGTCCCCTTGATATTATGATTAGATGATGTCTTTTTTTTTTTTTTTTAAATACAGCATTTTACCTTCATTTGCTGAAATCATTTCTAACGAAACAGAATGCGATAAACTGCTTTATTTAGTGTCCTTAAATCTTGGCAATATTTTTGTACCATTTAAAACTCAAATTGTGGACTATATCCTCAGCAGGAGCTCAAAAGCTATGCCAGGAATTTGCACCTCTAGAAGTGAGCTGAGACAAAGACGATTTTCCATTTTGATTTTCTCCTTTCCATTTTGAAATGGAAAGCCTATTTCAGTGTCTCCTGGTTAAAAAAAAAAAAAAAAAAAGCTATTGGAAAGTTGTGACAGACTGATAAGGGTATTTTGATTCCAGAAAACAAAAGCTGTAGTCTAGTTCTCAAGTTTCTGAACATATTTTTTATATAGACAAAATAAGTTTTTATGGAAATGGTGCCTTAATATGAAATAAATCAAAACATTGTTCCAGAACTGGTCAAACATCTTATTCACATTGTTTTAAGTGTGTTTCTTCCAGACTAATTTTAAAATTCTTAATGAACCATATTTCATTTAAAGTGGTGGAAGAGAATTTCAGAGGTGCCTTTGACAGTAGTTTCCTGAACAGCCCTTTCCTGAGCTCTGATGCACAAGACACTGGATTTTAACGGTCTGTAACCAAAATGGTGAGTCTGACTGAACTGCAACTCACACCCTGTACCCAGCTCTTCGCACACGCTTTGTATACAAATACCATTCAAAGATAAGGCATAGTAGCTTTCTAGGCCTTACGTATCAGAGAAATGCAGCAAAAGCCTACCCAAAAGCACATAGATGGGCAGCAATTCTCCAAAGGACCAGACTGGTATGATGGCTGTTTTGCAACTCACTGCTTCTGCACTAGGCAGCGCACAATTCTTGCTCACCACTGGTGTCCCCCAGTGCTCCTCACTGCTGCACAGACAATTTCTTCCTGCTGCCACCCTGTTATTGCACAGTGCCTTTTGGAGATGATATCTGCAGCCACAAGGACAAAGGGGTCTTGTTTGTTTTAGGAATGCTGCTGAACCAGACAAAACCACTGTTATTTTCACTGTAACTTCTTTATCTTGACATCTACCTCCCCAAGACAGAAAACAAGCCTAAAAAAGAGACTTAATTATATTTCTTATTTCTGAGAGTCACTAGTGCAATAACATTCTCTCCCACATAGGTCACAGAAAATAAGATTGGAGGGATCTGAGAAGATTGGAAGTCTGATAAATTATTCACAAGAGAAGCGCTGAGGTTCACCTGTGGAGCTGAATTTTTTCATGGGATTGAGTGACTTTCATCAGTCATTTTATTGACCAGTGTAGAAAAACGCAAGTTAATGCACATGGGAATACCCCCACCAAAACACAAAACCTGCTCCAGCACCACAACTCTGACTGTTGCTAAATTAGCAATGGGATCTTGGGGTTATAAAGAGTAATTTAATAGATCTATCACCTCACTGATTAATAGTGATCAAACAAGCCAGCTAAATACTAACAGTCATTAGGAGACAAGTAACAAGAAGACAGAGGGTACTGTGATCCTACTGAATAAATCTGTAGTTTGCCTGCATCTCAGGTATTATGCTTTACACTTGCCCCCAGTTCTCAAAAAGTAAAAAGATGACTGTAAAACCAGGACATGTTCTGAAGAGAACATAATGAAAAATCACTTTTGTGTAAGGAATGGCCGAATAAACTGTCTTCAGTCTGGAGACTGTAATAACTGTACAGTCATTACTGGCATGGTTGTTTAGGAAGTGACTGTTTACTCTCTATTCTATTGCAAGAGGTCAGAAGCAAAGACTAGCTGGACTGAACACAAAGGAGGTAGTTAGCAAATTAGTCCTCAGAGAAGCCACATTTGGTTCAGAAAGCCTTCGAGCTGAAGTTGGAAACTGAAACAGTGGCTAGGGAGGACACGGTAGCAGCATATGCATGCATTCTACTGCCCTCTAGGTCATCTATTTCCTTTAAATGCAGACACAAGATGTTAGGGAAGAGAAACCTTCCCTTGAGGCTTAAGCACTCAGTTAAATAAGACTTCCATGATGTTCACAGGAAAAATGAATTAGTGTTCAAATTAGGGTGCAACCCTCCAAACAAAAAGCTCAATATATTTTGCAGTTTTCAGCCCTAAGCAGACCACAAAACATGCCTAAAAATAATCAGCCAAGCTTACCTTCACAGGTGGGGCTCTCTTCCTGACATGAGAAAAAAACAGCTCTTTACCTACTGTTCAGAAAGTCCCAGCACAAACTAAGCACTCAGCCTGCCTTCTCTCCCCACCTTTACAGGCTGCAGCTATGATCTGTGACCAACCAAAGGCTGAAAAGCACCATCCCAAATAAAAAACATTTAGTCTATAGTGTCATCACACAACCCATTTCACCTGAGAAAAAGGACCCCCTGACCTTGTGGTACTCTTGGGAACTTCTCCCAGTTCCTGCAGTGCCTCTACCTCATACATCACCCCAATTGTTTCCAAATACAAGTATTTATTAGAATGCGACTTCAGCTACAGGAAAATTGAAGTCGCGTGCTTCAAAAGAGGTTTAGCAACTTAGTAGCTAGAGGTAATGTAGAAAACAAAAACATGGAAGTTGCTAATAAATGATGATCCAAGAGAGATTTTTGATCAGTAGCTTTCATTCATCTATTCCCTTCAGTCCCACTTAATCTAAACCAGTGAACTAACTGCACATTTCTTGTATTAAGATAAAACTGCTGCTAGTCTAACAGCTGCCAGTGAATCTTGAACCTCTGCTACATGTATTTAATTGTTCTGCTCCTTTAAAAATTATACAGTGATAAAGAAGAATAGAAACAAAATAAAACTGGAATAATTAACTATTATGTGGCTGGGATATGGAATAGCTCAAATTTGTGAGTATGCATAGGCTGGTATTTCCAGAGATCTTACTGAAAATGATACTATACCAGAAGTAATATCAAGGGGAAAATGACGCAAGATGACTCAATAGCACGTTATGAGTATCTGCGGAGGACACATCACAAATGCTGAACTTTTTGTGGCTTTGACTGCAATAATTAAGATGATTCATGGGAAAGGATACCTCCAATATGAGAATAATGCAGCTTTAGAAGGTCATTTTGAGTGAGTTTTTTATAGGCTTAAAACAAAAAAACAACTCCCTAGACTTCCTGGAAAAACTTCCATTAACCTGCATAGAAGAAAAAGTCAAGCTCACAGTTGAGTAGGAATAGGTGACATTTTGATCTAGCTAATACGAGGGTATACAAAGCATAAATGGAGCTAATTTAGATGTGCAGAAGCATATGTAAGTTTAGAATTTTGCTGAGCAATTTTTATTAAAACGAAGTCTTTCTCAAATGCCAAATATTCTTTGGGAATAAATAGAGGTGTCAATGAAAAGAACAAGTAAACCCAGATAAACTTTAAGATGAATTACTTAAGCAGGTGTGTAGGTTAGAGAAATTCACAAAGAAATTCCGCCTGTGAAAAGGTGTGTATTCACTTTGTGAACTGCCTGGGTTTCTCTTTGGTCTTTGTTTTTCATTAATTCTAGTAAATGAAGTCATTTTAGCAAAGCAAAGAAAAATATGAATTTAAGAAAAGAAGATACCCCTGAAAAGCAAATTTTCAGTATGTGGGGATTTGTACCAAGACGTGAATCCTATGAGCTGTGTTCAGGACTTGGGAGGGGGACATCTTTGCCAAGCTCTGCCTTTGTGAAAAACACACTCTAGTCATGTGTGTGTTCCTCATGCACTTCAGTTTTCATGAAACTCATCAAACTTACAGCTAAAAGTAAAATGACTGAATCCAAGGTTTAATGTACATGTCTTGTACATTTCTGTTGCATCGTATTTACACTGAAAAGG